CTTTTAAATCTGGTAGTTTGGGAAAACACACTTGGGTTACTGATATCTGAAATTTATTATTTTCCCACGGTTTCGGTTTCGTATGGTTGAGCCAAACAATTGGCGATTTGAACTGGTTTATTAATGAATTTCGTGTTAGATCAATAAATATGTTCAATCAAGAATGGAAATCCACCCACCCTAGATTCAAGCTCACGATATGAATATTACAGGACCTTTAAAACGTTACTCCAACCAGAAAAATACTTATCAATAATTACAACATATAGTTTAAGAACAATGTTCGTAAAGTATCGTTTAGGTTTGTTTTCTTTAATGATTAATGAGGGTAGAAAATCTTCTGTCCAGAAAGAAAGTCGATATTGTCCTTTACGTAACGTTGGAATAGAAAATGAAATTCATTTTACCCTGATATGTCCTTGTTATCACGAATTAAGACAGAAATATATACCGCACCATCTTCTTGCAAAGCAGCCCCATTATGCATATATATCTTTGTTACAAACCAATAATGAAAATATTCTTGCTCAATTGTCCTTATATATAGAATATGCATTAGCTAAAAGAGATCTTCTTATAAAGCGAATTGTATACCCTTAAATAAATATGTAAATATCCAGAATATTCCTTTATCACTCTAACTCTCATGTATATGGGCCGGAGGCCTTTCATACAATAAACCTCTTTTGACTTTGACTTTGAATCTAAAGTACTCTGTAGTTCGGATGCGTTATCTGCAAAAAGAACTGTGTCGTCGGCATAAAGGAGTACAATAAATGATACACATAACTGTATGTTTACATTCTCGAGCATAACACTTTTACAACTGTCTTCAACGAGAAATTGTTCTAAATCATTAATGAATAAACAAAATAAAAGAGGTGAAAGATTTTGCCCTTGGCGGACGCCCGAATAACATGGAAAATAATCTGAGAACTTATCATTTGAATATACACAAGATTTGATATTTGCATACATGTTTTGTATAAGCGTAAAAAACTTACCTGTAATTCCATTGTTAACTATTTTTTGCCAAGTCCAAGCCTCAATACATTATCGAAAGCTTTAGAAAAATCTATGAACGCACAATATAAGTATAACTTTCTTTTACAAGTCTTTAAAATCCGAGTAAGCATGTTTCAAAACAAATATGTTGTCGTTTGTAGAATGTTCTTTCCTAAAACCTGCCTGCAAGAAAATGTTCAGTCTATTGTTCAATATACTAGTGAAAAACTTTCCGAATTAGCTTAAAATAGTGATTGTCTATAGGCATTGGGGTCTGATTTCTGGCCTTTACCTTTGTATATAGGTCTAATAGAGCCAGTCAACCGTGCTTCAGGCATTATTCCTGTGGAGAACATCAAATTGAAATAATCAACAAACAAAGGACCAAGTAAATCAGAGGAATCAAGGCCATCAATACCAGAAGTTTTATTTCGTTTTAGCTTTTTGATAGCATGTGTCACTTCTGTCAAAGTAATGTCATCCTTTAATATGTGATCATCATAATCTTTAATTTCTTGATCTATTTCAAAATCAGGAGTAGTCTGTTTACTATTGATATGCTTGAAATGTTCAAAAAATCCTTTTATGTCTGGTATTTCAGAATTATCATATTTGTTACTTTTTGTTAGCATTTTCCAGAATTCTTTAGGGGAATGCGTTTGTTTTTTCTGATCCAGTGGAAGAATTCATTTTTATACTTGTTTATATGTTTATTCAGACATTTCTTATATTCTTTTTAACATCGGCAATATTCAGCCTAATTAGAATTCGTCTTACTTTTAAAATACAAACGATTTGATTTTTGAAAGCATTTACTTTTTTCTCGACATTCTTTTCCAATCCAAGGCTTATCATTGCAATCTCGTTTCGACACTGGTGGAGGCGAGGGTCTCACTGAACCAAACTTGCTTCTATCGTCCACGAGGCCACCAAGCAGGATGTCCCCGAGTTCACTGCAGTCGTGCTTGACGATGTTGTAGTGTGAGAATGACGCCTCTGACCGGAAATCTAGGTCGGATTCCTTCTTCTCATAGACGGTTGCACACGATCTGGTCCGAAATCTCAGCAGTCCTGGTATTGTTGATGCGGTGGATGTTGCAGTGGTGGTCCATCCCGTAGGTGGCGTAACCGGATGTAACACTGATGGGCAGGCGTTGTTACAGGCGTTGTTACATGACGGACCTGTGACGGTCATGAGTTGAGCCCTGTTGTTGATAACAATCCCATTGCGCTTCACTCAGTCTCGGCATAACTGTGCTGCGTTTGACGGCGTAATACTGAGATATGGAAATCGGGAACCTTTTATAGGGATTTTATTCAAGTGGCACGTGCAAAACATGCAGATCTCTCAAACAGATTCATTAAGAGTGAATGCGTTTGGGCGAACAGTTGAATTTGTTATATTGTAATTTCTTGTCGGTGATCAATGCTTAACGCCTGTGACACCACAATCTATCGGCTTGTCACATTATACCGTATCTTTCTGCATCAAATAATAAAAATGTCCCATTTGCGTTTCATTTTTTGAAGAGTATGTAACATAAAAGCCAGCACATAATCCGTCTTTCAGACTTAAGGTAATCTTTTGGGCGTACAAGGCAGGATTATATAAATTGCACCTAATGACACCATAATGCTCGTGAAAAGGGGAAACAAATCCTGCTCTACTGCCAGCAACCGCCACACAGATATAATTAAGAAACGCATAACACAAATTACACTTGCGTCAGTAAAGAGTGAACGTTTATGTCAGTATAACTGATCAATTCGAACGGAATGTATTGATAGAATGAGTGAGTGAGTGAACAAATATGGTTTAATATCTTTTCTAGCCATATCTCGATGGCGGACACCAACTGTGGTGTTCACACATTTTGGTCAAGTTGGGATTCGAACCTAGATTTCAATAGTTTGTCTGTCTTACTGCTTTTCATGTAGGTTAACACTATGCATACAAAACAAGAGTGTTCCCGTTATTAGTTAATTCAATGGAGGAAGATTTAAAGATTAGGCATTAGTATCACAGTGTGAAAATAATTCTATTCGAAAATAAGTTTATTCTTCCAGAAATATGCAGTATATCGATATTGATGAGTTGTTAATACTGTGCCTCACCATGGCTGAAACCTGTTATAACGATAGCGACCACATACGTTGTGACAGGTGCTCTTGTAATGCATGTTTGTATCGCGATGTGTACAGTCCAGCAATGCATACTGTCACAAATCCGACGAGTCGTACCTTGCGATGTCGCAGGGAGGGAGGTATGTGCATGTACCAGGCGGCAGATTTGGGTTTTTTTATTTCTCCCTATTAACCTGAACACTAGAAGGGGAGATACAGAAATGCACGGTGTCTTGGTTACATCCGGAAGGTGTGCGTGCGTGTCTGTGTCTTCCCTCTCCTCTACATACAGCACAAGTAACGGAGCAGAATGAGTTCGTGCAAGGTGTCATTTTCTTCTCTTTAATTTCTCTGTAGAGGCGATTTGAGGCGACTGTGAAGCCTTAAAGTTCATCACGTTGCGACCAGCAATGCTGGTTCCTGTTACGCATACCATTTTTCGAACTTTTGACATCTGGAAATGTCTGCTATCACCATCTTTTCAAACCTTTGACATCTGCAAATATCTGTTATTACCAAAAAAGGCGTATTCTCCATATGTCTGCATTGAAACTTTGATTGCCAATGTGTTCAACTTCTTTAGTTTAGAGAAAGTTTATTCAGCTATAAACAAAACTGAGCAATTAGGGATGGTCTCAACAGTTAAATCGGGAAGAAAACAGAAGCTCGACAACTTTGACAAGGACGTCATTCGTCGAACGGTTTACAGGCTCTATGACCAGAACGTACCACCAACATGTCGTAGAATCCAGGCAGAAATGGGCAACTCCATAAACACTTCTAAAACAACACTTGTCATTGCTCTTTATGAGCTGGGGTTCAGGTACAAAGGTCGGGGGGATGACAGGGCGTATTCAGGGAAAAATATTATTCTCACTGTGAGATCTAGCTATCTCCGCAGTATTGACGAGTACAGCTCTCTGGATTTCCAAGTCTTCACCTGGATGAGACATGGGTAAATAAACCATTCCACTAACTACATGTGGTTGCCCACGGGCGTCTCCAGCAGAGCGCCCACTGTCCCACCCGGTAAGGGGAGACGACTCATGGTACTCCATGCCAGTACGCGTGAACTGAGACTTATTGATGGATGTGCACTTGTGTTTGACGCCAAGGCCAAGACTGGTGATTATCACCAAGAAATGAATGGTGAAGTTTTTCTAGACTGGAACCTAATTTGTCTGGATAAACCGAGCTTCATTGCAATCACGAACCCGACAGTGTCACATGCACAGATGGCTCTGAAGCGGGCATGCGGAGTACTTGAAGTCATAAGGAGTGCCCTTCAGGCCCACTGAGACAAAAGTCCCGTTGATGGAAAAGATACGAGTCAACAAAACACTAGTTGTGTTTCAATATTCTTAACAGTAAAAGTTATAACAAGCATTTTTGTTGATATAAATTCCATTTAAGGATGTCAGCCATGCATCATCATTATTGATTATACATTTTATACCAAAATGTAAATTTCAAATAAATGCTGTCGCCAAGAAATAAAAATTGAACACCACTGAAACCCAAACCAACAAGTAATACCACGATTAGCGTTTCAACTGCTCCTCCTCCCATCCTCCTCCCGCCCTTCCCATCTCCCCCTTCTCTTCGATTCTGTTTTACCCTTTCTGTGTCCCCTCCCCAAAACATATAATTCCACCATATACGTTCCTATCTCCCCCCAGCTTGTCAAACAACCTGTGCTACGTGCCGTCCACACAGAACAAGATCAAACAACTTAAAACACCGGTATAGGATGCTGCATATATTTAAAAATCGAATTCGCATAGAAAAAAATTTACGCAAGGCTCCAATTGTCCCTATATTAGACGGGTCTTTCAGCATTTCGGCAGTTCTGCTTTCGGAGTTTTCAGACACAGACCTCTCTCCTTATCAGACACCGGGTTTTGTACAATATGTTGAAGCTCTCTGGAATATGTGTTGCTCTTCTGGGACTTGTCCTCACTGTTAACGGACAGACAGGTACGTGATCCTTCACCTGTTGTCAGGTATATACACTTTCTCAATTAGCCAGTTGAGGTTCCCTTAACGTTACACCGATGACATTGTTGATCGAATGTATACAGATATATGTTTAACAGACTCGTTGTCTTAACGCTGTGAAAAAGTCGTCAAAATCGGCTTCGTTTGTTTATTGTGGTGTCAAGTATTCACTCTAACTAAACATTGTTATCAGTTAAGAATCAAGGTTAACACTAAATTTCAAGGAAACGTCACTTTCTGTGTCGAGATTGTATGGAAACTGAACGAAATTCATATACATTATATCATCAATTACCGATACAGCGCCAATCGAAGCATCTTTGAATTAACAGAATACAACAGCTCTGTAGAACCAGCCTTTAAAGTCAACCAAAGTGTTCCTGCTCAGTTCACTGGAGAAAGACGTACAATCACCTATATTAGTTAGTCCTAGAGCTTCGTTACAGTCAGTAAGAATGGTTCCTTATGATCCTTAAAAGTGTCAGGTGCTGCTTCTCAAGTTGAAACTAAAACATTTAACCGGGAATCAGTCCGTAAGAGAACTAGGTCACTACAAACGAGTACAAACTAGAGCGGCAGTTCACATTCAAAGGTAATATCACACGAGAACAGTGATTATGTAGTACCTTCCAGATATTCACGTCTAAACATAGCACAAGTTTAAATGTAGCATACCCCTGCCACTCACTCACAACCCACTAGACTTTGTTACACAATAAAATTCTCTGCCGCATAACAAAAGCCACTAGAAAAGGCACACCATTGTTCTTTAGAGTGAATCATAGATAAGTTTAGTTATCAGTGACATTTTATACAGACCATCGTGCTTGTTTACAGTGGCACCGGACCCTCGATGTAATGCCTTCCCAAATGGCGAAGGGAACATTATGGCTGAAGGCTTGGGGTGTAGATACTACCTCTCGTGTTTTAACTTCATCATCAATCGCGACCCCATGGCCTGTGCTGGAGAAACCTTGTTCAACCCCAACTCTGGCATGTGTGATGCGGAGGAATGCACCGACAATCGCGGTGTATCTAATTATGGTAGGTTCCCTGTTGCTACCTTTATACCAGAACTATGTTCATGACCACACATATCACAACTATGTTCATGACCACACATATCACAACTATGTTCATGATCACACATATCACAACTATGTTCATGATCACACATATCACAACTATGTTCATGACCACACATATCACAACAATGTTCATGACCGCACATATCACAACAATGTTCATGACCACACTTATCACACATATCACAACTATGTTCATGACCACACATATCACAACTATGTTCATGACCACACATACCACAACTATGTTCATGATCACACATATCACAACTATGTTCATGACAACACATATCACAACTATGTTCATGATCACACATATCACAACTATGTTCATGACCACACATATCACAACTATGTTCATGATCACACATATCACAACTATGTTCATCACCACACATATTACAGCTATGTTCATGACCACACATATCACAACTATGTTGATGACCACACATACCACAACTATGTTCATGACCACACATATCACAACTATGTTCATCGCCACACATATCACAACTATGTTCATGACCACACATGTCAGCAGCTATGTTCATGACCACACATCCACAATTATGTTCATGACCACACATATCAACTATGTTCATCACCACACATATCACAGCTATGTTCATGACCCACATATCACAACTATGTTCATCACACACATATCACAACTATGTTCATCACCACATGTCACAACTATGTTCATGACCACACATATCACAACTATGTTCATGAAACACATATCACAACTATGTTCATGACCAACATATCACAACTATGTTCATGACCACATATCACAACTATGTTCATACATATCCACACATACCACAACTATGTTCATGACCACACATATCACAACTATGTTCATCACCACATATCACAACTATGTTCATGACCACATGTCACAACTATGATCATGACCCACATATCACAACTATGTTCATGACCACACATATCACAGCTATGTTCATGACCACACATATCACAACAATGTTCATGACTACACATATCACAAATATGTTCATGACCACACATATCACAACTATGTTCATGACCACACATATCACAGCTATGTTCATTACCACACATATCACAACAATGTTCATGACCGCACATATCACAACTATGTTATGTTCATGACCATCACCACATATCACAACTATGTTCATCACCACACATATCACAACTATGTTCGCGACCACATATCACAGCTATGTTCATGACCACACATATCACAACTATGTTCATCACCACACATATCACAACTATGTTCATCACCACACATATCACAGCTATGTTCATTACCACACATATCACAACAATGTTCATGACCGCACATATCACAACTATGTTCATGACCACACATATCACAGCCATGTTCATCACCACACATATCACAGCTATGTTCATGACCACACATATCACAGCTATGTTCATGACCACACATACCACAACTATGTTCATCACCACACATACCACAACTATGTTCATCACCCACATATCACAGCTATGTTCATTACCACACATATCACAATGTTCTATGTATTCACTATGTTCGCACATATCACTGGCTATGTTCATGACATATCACAGCTATGTTCATCACCACACATATCACAACCACATACCCGGCATGTTCATCACCACACATACCACAACCAGTACCGGTGGCATCAGAGCCAGGTGTCATAACAGAAATAACATAACTTACTGTTACTATTACAATTACACCACTTCGAACCTTACAGTCTATTTGGACTAACACGATTCTCCTCGTGCGCACCGGGATAGATTTGATCTTCAGTGACCCATGCTTGTCGAGGAGACGACTAGCTGGGTCGAGATTGATCAGGCTCGCTGATTTGGTTGGCACCTGTCATCGTATCCCCAATTGCGTATATCGATGTTCATGCTGATGCTGTTAAACACTGGATTGTCTGGTTCACCAGGCTCAATTATTTACAGACCGCCGCTATATAGCTGGAAAATCGCTGAGTGCGGCGTAAAACTAAACTCTCTCACTCCCCGTCCAGCGCTCTCCTGATGTTGCTGGAATATTGCTACAAATAGTGTAATTACGCTCTCATTCATGCTTGATTAATGCATGCATGCATGCATGCATGCATGCATGTATGTATGTATGTATGTATGTATGTATGTATGTATGTATGTATGTATGTATGTATGTATGTATGTATGTATGTATGTATGTATGTATGTGTGTATGTATGTATGTATGTATGTATGTATGTATGTATGTATGTATGTATGTATGTATGTGTGTATGTATGTATGTGTGTGTGTATGTATGTATGTGTGTGTATGTATGTGTATGTATGTGTATGTAATGTGTGTATGTATGTATGTATGTATGTATGTATGTGTGTATGTATGTATGTATGTGTGTAATGTATGTGTATGTATGTATGTATGTATGTATGTATGTATGTATGTATGTATGTATGTATGTATGTAATAATAATGTATGTATGTATGTATGTATGTAATGTATGTATGTATGTATGTATGTATGTATGTATGTATGTATGTATGTATGTATACATGTGCGTGCGTATGAATTAATGATGAATCTGTAATGCCACATGATGAAGTTATGAGGCTGATCTCATTATGTATATTTTGAACAGACTGTGAAGAGGGTGCTCTACCAAATGATTGTTCCCGTTTCAACATCTGTTTCAACACGCCCAATGACACCACCATCTTCCAGTGTGGCGAGGATACCTACTACCACAACGCAAAGCGCGTGTGCGTCCATCCTGACGCGTTTCCGAACCTGCCACGAGAACAGGGCTGTACCTACAACCCCCTTTAACCGCAGCCACAACTTCAGCATCTACGTCCACAACAGCTACAGCATCTACCGTGCAAGCAACTATTTTGTTGTCTATGACAAGTGTTTACAACATAGGGGGAGGGGGGTTCAGTATTATTCTTTAGACAAATGTAGAGATAACATGTTCATAAAAACATAAAAATGATATTACAAATGAGCAATAAAATGTGAAAAGAAAAAATCCTTTATTTCTGATTTTGTCTGACTATTCAACAGACATTGTTGATGCATTTCCAATAAGGTTGAGGTCGGGCGATTCGGAAGGCCATGGAAGCACTGTAATGTTTTCATTCTGAAGATACTTAATAGTGGCATGTGCTGTGTAGGGCCTGGAACAACTCCCTCTGGTGGTCAAAGATGGGAACCATGTGAATCCTTTAGATTACGTCTGTGTACCGAATAACAGTTACATTTCCCTGAAGGCGCACATTTCTGCGTGTAAGATATCGCTCCCCACAACATGACACTTTCACCACACTACTGCCCAGCCTCCAGGCGTCCATTGGAATTGTTTCGATTTACAGATGTGAGTTGCGGTATAACGATATTCTTTCATTTAACTAATAAATGCCAATGACCGTCCAAAAGCTAAACGGACTTATACAGGCAATGTCCCTACTCACGATTCCTCAGAAATACACGTGATATGTGTGAACCACCTTTTCTCCATGATATTTTCATGCAAGTTGACACTCTCGAACGTAAACGTCTCAATTCAGCTCAGTCACTCGCTCAGTAGGAAGACTGCTTAATGCCAAGACCAAATTAGCTTCCACCACAAATATTCTCTACGATCTAACATAGGCTACGATTTCAGTCCACGACATTCTAGTGTAACCAAGTAAAGCATTGTGCTTATACATGTAAAAAATGTTGTGGATAGTGGGAATAATCAATATATAGCTTCTTGTCCATATGATATAATCATATTCGCTATGGAGCAGGTAATCAGATATAAATGGTTCTGATGTGATTTGGCGCAGGAGGTACAATAATGTACCAAGAGGCTGGCACAACCCTGGCAAAATGTGTATTGCCGTCTTGGAAGATGAAGCCCATGTCGGTTCGTCACTGTGATACCACCACACACTATGACGGATTACGACATGAACGACCATAAAAGGTTCATTGGGACGTGCGTACACATTAAGCCGTTGGAGACCTGAAACACCTGTTCAAAGCAGCGTTACATTGACATCCTCCTCTTTGAAAAATGTTGACATTTACATTAGTCGTTAATTACCGTGTAGTCTGTCATGTTAACCAAAATTGTCTTACTGTGACGGACTGATGAAATACACATACATATATAATGGTGGTTAAAAATATAACTAAAAAGTTTAGGTTTTACGATGGTGATTCACATATTTATTGTAGTTTTGTTTTGAAATTGTGGTTCCTTTTTTCGACAACTGTTTTCGGCCATGTAATATTATTATAACGGTTATCTGGTTTGATCACATCCAACTTTCAAGAGGGTACTTTCTTTGACTCAGCAGTTAATTACAAGACTGCAGATTTGGACTGTAAAATAAACTGTATCGGGCCTTGACAAAAAGTCACATCTTCTGTAAACCATTAAAGGATTTCTAAATGTCAAATACTCCATAACGTTAAGTGGTGTTGAAACGGGGGCTCAACTGCATGCACGTGTGTAACTACACGTACTGGTATGCACGGATAGTGTGTAACTACACGTACTGGTATAGTCTCCTGAGTCTTTGATAGTAGCACCTTGTCTTCTAAATACCTAGTCTTGCACCCATGCACGTGTGTAGCTACACATACTGGTATAGTCTACTGACATAGTAGTCTTGTCTCCTAAATAGTAGTCTTGTTCCCTACCTAAGTCCATGCACGTGTGTAGCTACACGTACAGGTATAGTCTGCTGAGCAAGTAGTCTTGTCCCCTAAATACCTAGCACCATGCCCGTGTGTGTAGTAGCTCCACGTACTGGTATAGTCTACTGAGATGGTAGTCTTGCAACTTAATTCATATTATCAAAAATGGAAGTTGAAAATTAATATTGATAAAAGTAAAATCATTGTATTAGGGAAAGCAGACAGATTAATGAAACATATGAAATTCTTTCTAAATGGAGATAAAATAGATATTGTTTCATCTTATAAATATTTGGGCGTTCATTTTTCGAGTTCAGGTAGTTGGTATATCACACAGAAAATACTAGCGGAACAGGCATGGAAGGTTGTGTCACTGACTAGCTAGTTTATTGATTAATAATTTCTACAGTCTACCATTGAAGGTTTTGTTGCATATCTTTGATGTACAAATTCTACCCGTTTTGCTCTATGGAGCGGGAGTTTCAGGTTTCCACCCTTCGCCGAATACTCTTCATGTTCATGATAAGTTTTGTAAGCAAATACTTAGGCTCTGTTAGTACACCGTTCATTGTAGCTCGTGGCGAACTTGGGAGCTATTCTTTGCATGTCAATAAATATATTAAGTTAATCAAATATTGGATCAGATGTACAAGTCAAAGGGAGAATGTAATTTTGTATAATGTATATAAGTATCAGTTTAGTTTAGCTAGAAAAAACCTTGACTGCTGGGCACTAAATGTTAAAACTTTATTGTTCACTTATGGTTTTGGACAGGTGTGGATGGACCAGCGTGTTGTCAACGTGCAGCAGTTTCTAACTTAATTTAAACAGAGGTGTATTGACATTGACGTTCAAAATTGGGTTTCAGACCTTCGTAAGTATTCCAAACTCGAGATGTACAGACAGATTAAAGTACATCTTTCTGAAGAATATTATTTTACTGTAGTCAAAGTAAAAGCTTACTGTGTAAGTTCCGCTGCCCCAACCATGACCTAATGGTTGAGTATGGAAAACGTCTCAAACTTGACCGCAAAGATCGTCTCTGCCCATTCTGTGTTTGAACTACTATTGAATCTGAACTACACTTCTGTCTTGAATGCCCATTTTATCCCGACCTGCGATCAGATCTCTTGCAAATTTTTTATTATGTCTTTCCATCTTGCAACAAGCTTATCTTATTATTCACATAAAAAAACAATGTTATTATAAAAATCTTGCTAAATATATCTTTTTAGCACCGAAGAAACGAAGCAAATATTTTTCATCATGTTGATGCTATCAATGTCCATTATGATATTGCCTTAAACATAACACCTGTATATGTGAATGATGTGGCGCTTCGTCAACGTATTGTAGCACTAATTTACATGTATAATGGGCCGGTGGCCCCTTAATCGGAATAAATTATCTCTGTGTAGTATAGTCCACTGACATAGTAGTCTTGTCCCCTAAATACCTAGCACAATGCATGTGTGTAAGACATCTTCTTAGTTAAAGGACCGGCTCCGTGGTGTAGTGGTTAGAGCGTCCGCCCGGAGAGCGGGGTTCGATCCCCGACCGTGTCATACCAAAAGACGTTAAAATATGGTACTTGTGGGTCCCTGCCTGGCGCTCGGCATTTATGGGTACAACAAGGACTGGTTGGCACGGAGTCAGTATAATGTGTCTGAGTGGGGTATTCATGTTTCACTGTGGTATGGTATAACCAGCTTAAGTCTGGGCTAGTACAATCAGCCGCACATACACATACACACACATGCACGTCGTCATATGAGCGAAATATTCTCAAGCACGACGTTAAACCCAATTTCACCTCACCTCACCTCTTAGTTAAAATATATTTGTTTGTCGACAGCTTTCTACAGCGATATTCTCGACATTAGGACTTTTCTTTAAGTGTATTGCATAATCGTTCGGTCGATCTGTCCCACCTGCAAATATATCTTCGAACACATTAGTAATAATCATCCAACAAAAATGATCTCAGTACAACTCGGTTTCATTATATCATGTCGGCAGAACGTGAACGTCGACGTCTCAAACGCTGCTGACAGGACGGAGGCGCAGAATGGCCTCTGACTAGTCGTGTTCCATTTCTTAGTGGCGATGTTTGACAATGAATGAATGAATGAATGAATGGATAGATGGATGGATGGATGGATGGATGGATGGGTGGATGGATGGATGGATGGATGAATGGATGGATGGATGGATGGATGGATGAATTTACATATATACATCAAATATTCACAGCAACATTGACAAGGCGGGTACACACATGTACGAAGAGAAGCAAAGGCAAGGAAGGGTGAGGATACCATGGAATACAGATATTTACAAAATAGGACAATCATACATCTCCATGACATTTCATCTATGTGTTCAGTAACCGGTATTTCACCTCCAGAAAAGAGAGGCAGCATTTCATCTTCTGTCAGTAATTCTATTTGTACAGATACATTGACGTGAAAAAGATCTAAAAGTTTGGAAAAGAACTGATTCCTGTTGTACATATAATGTTCACAATGTAGAATTATATGGCAGTCATAGTCATTACAGTGTCTTTCACAGAGTTCACAATATTTTGAACATTTTGCTCGAGAATTGACTTGTACACAAAACTGTAAGATGTCTCTATATTGTGGATAAACGTTCATCAAACAATATAATCTAATGTACAACCAAAGGTACAGTGGGTTAGGCGGTATCTGGACATATCCCTGTCTCCTGTCCCATCACAGTTTCACATTAACACAGTTAATAACTATTTTACGCCATGAGATTTAGACACTTCCATCGAGATAATCCACTCATATATTTAAAAAAGTTTCTGACTATTACATTTGAACAGTGGACACTACAACCCACAACCATTGATGATGGCAGTTAATAACGTGACATTTTACGCTTACATTATGAGAAAGAATTTACACATGGCCGCTCACAAAGCGACTGACTGTCGCAAGTCTAGCAAAACCCCTGATGACCACCAAGACATGCCCTTTCTTCATCCTGGTGGATGACTCCTTTGCATTCAGGAACTAATTCCCCATGAAGCCAGCTACCGCAGAAGAAGGATGCCCAGGGCGAGAGGATTTCACCTGCAGATTCCTCCAGGGGAGAACGTCACAGATCGTGAGAGAGATCGCAACACATCCCCATCAGAGCGTGGTGTTCGGCTTAGTCCACGCATTGATCCCGGATCACCACGATGACGAAGCACGATTAGAGGCGACATGCTGCGCTTTGTTACGATGCAATACGATCTGATGCGATGATCACGAGTGACAATTCATCGTGTTGATCGTAGAATTTTGTT